CTGTTACAAAAAGTTATTGAGAGTAACCAGTAATGCCAACCGGTTCACTGATCTCATAAAATTCCGTTAGTTAGACGGTTCTATAGAAACGATACGAACCGGCTGAATCCCACCACTGGCTATAACTATTTCGTGTAAAGAATGGTAAAAGTATTCGGCTTAGCCTTGGAATATCATATTTTTCTGGGAGCCATATGCCTTAACCGAGAGAGCTATATATGGCTCGCGAGCCATGGGTTCCCGACCCCTGATTTAAGGGAATGCAGTAACCATTTGAAATGACACGCATTAACAGACCTAAGTTTAAAAAAATTGTTTATCCGTATGCAACGTGCTATACCTGAAATCTGCAATTTCGTCATAGCTCGATCGAATTATGTCCACAAAGATTAGGATAACAGATATGGGAATTCATCGGTCTCATTTTGCTGTTGGAAAGTATGTATTTCATAGCTTTTGTTGGTAGTCGTTATCCCGTGTATATATTACTCTGAAACGTTAGTTGTCAAGTTGGTTTAATTTTTTAATTACAAAAGAATACAGAAAGTCGAAAAATAATGGAGATTAATGAATGAAAGAGACGCTAGTTGCAAGTTAAAGCCAAAATACCACTTCGAAATTAAAAAACATTCATTGGTTGTATAAACTAGAAGCAGCAAGAATTATACCGTGACATTTGATATAATATAAAATATTTTATTCACGTATATTTATATTGTTTTTACATTGACTGACCTAACTGACTTTTGAAAAGGTGCGAGGTTAGACGTTTTGTTAACTGATGAAAGGCTGTTAAATACAAAACAAAACATAACTTTTTTTTATTGAGGGGCAGGTGACTGTGGATCATGAAAGTTTAAGAATCACTGAAGTTTGGGCACGCCAGCATGCTAGTTAATTCATTTCTTTGTTTATAAAAAAAAAAAAAACTTCTGACCCATACCTAGGGCAGGTGGGATTTCGATATTTATCAGCTTTGATCAGCTAAATGTCCAGTATCTCGGATGAGAGACTGACTGGATACGGAATAGTTAAAAAATAATAGTACCGGTACTTCTGTAGGCCCCGAGAAGATCTAAATTCTTATGTGCTATAATCAGGGTTACCATATCGTGCTAAGATTTGTGCTTATTTTCTAGCCCGCGTCTTATAAAGTAATGATGTGCTTATTTCCAGAGAAAGTGCTTATTTTCGTGTTGGGTTCTTGAACATGGATGGCTCTTCGTGTTTGCGTACAAAGCTTCCGTGGAAACAAGGGACGATTTTTAGGGACGGACTAAAAGTAGGCACTTGCAAATTAGGCACTTTTTTAGGCACATATTTAGGCACTTTGGAAAAAAAGTAAAAAGGGCGTAATACCTTTTAAAAACATAATTAATTAGTTAAAAATGATCAAATTAAATGTTGAAAACGCAAATTGCAACGGGCAAACTCAATAGCAATATTTAAAACGCAGTATTAAAGGCAGTCGCACGAGCTTGGTCACCACATATGTTAGGCACATATTTAGGCACTTCGAAAAATAAATAAAATGGCATATTCACTAATAAAAGACAGAGAAATAAACATATTACCCACACTGATTAGCCTGAGTAAATATCCAAGAGATGCACTTGAGTCTAGTACTGGAATTTAGAAATAATAAATTGTTACCGGTAGGCACTTTTTTAGGCACATCGAAAAAAAGATGAAATGGACGTAGTAACTCCTAGAAAGATAATGAATTAGTTCAAAATATTTAAATTAAAAGTTGAACGCAAAAATTGCAACAGTTAAACCCAATACTGTAATGATTTTTAAAACGTAGTACTAAAGGGAGACGCACGCGCTCTGTCACCGCATATGCTAGGCACATTTTCTTTTTTTTATTGGTGATTATTCCCATTTTCTTTTTTTTTCGATGTGCCTAGCATATGTGGTGACAGAGCGCGTGCGTCTCCTTTTAGTACAAAGTTTTAAAAATCATTATTGGGTTTAACTGTTGCAAATTTCGCGTTCAACATTTAATTTAAATATTTTGAACTAATTCATTATCTTTCTAGGAGTTACTACGTCCATTTCACCTTTTTTTCGAAGTGCCTAAAAAAGTGCCTACCGGTAACAATTTATTATTTCTAAATTCCAGTACTATACTCAAGTACATCTATTGGATATTTACCCAAGCTAATCAGTGTGGGTAATATTTTTATTTCTCTGTCTTTTATTAGTGATAATCGCCATTTTCTTTATTTTTCGAAGTGCCCAAATATGTGCCTAGCATACGTGGTGACAGAGCGCGTGCGTCTCCCTTTAATACTACGTTTTAAAAATCGTTATTGGATTTAACTGTTGCAATTTTCGCGTTCAACATTTAATTTAAATATTTTGAACTAATTCATTACCTTTTTAGGAGTTACTACGTCCATTTCACCTTTTTTCCGAAGTGCCTAAATAAGTGCCTACCGTAACAATTTATTATTTCTAAATTCCAGTACTAGACTCAAGTGCATCTATTGGATATTTACCCAGGCTAATCAGTGTGGGTAATATGTTTATGTCTCTGTCTTTTATTAGTGATAATTGCCGTTTTCTTTATTTTTCGTAGTGCCTAAATATGTGCCTAGCATATGTGGTGACCAAGCGCGTGCGACTGCCTTTAATACTACGTTTTAAATATTGTTATTGAGTTTGCCCGTTGCAATTTGCGTTTTCAACATTTAATTTGACCATTTTTAACTAATTAATTATGTTTTTAAAAGGTATTACGCCCTTTTTACTTTTTTTTCAAAGTGCCTAAATAAGTGCCTAAAAAAGTGCCTAATTTGCAAGTGCCTACTTTTAGTCCGTCCCCGATTTTTATCATTATACGCAACGAGCGCTTCGCTGTGGTGTCATTGTGACGTGTCAATTAACTACGTTCCACCGGAACCTCAAGTCTCGGGACTCGCTCACTCTCAGCGCGAACTGTTTCTGTTAACACTAGGGTTTGTGGAATTTTCTAGGTAACTGTGACACAGTTACAATAGTTGCTGTTAGTTTTTAGAGATACTGTTTTTAGTGACAAACCATAACTTTTAGACAATCCCATTGTGTTCAAACAATCCATGCTCAACAAAGTAAAACTATAGCAACTAACCCCCAAATGTACCCCATTTCATGTTGAAATCATCAAAACAAAGTTAATTTTTCCCAAAATTCGAACAAAGACTTTCGTAGGAATCAAATTACACCAGTTTTAAGAACATAACATGTTTCACCCAGTCATTATCAAACTAAAATTTATATTCTCAAGACCTTTGGCACTGATTGAAATAATTATATTTAAGTTCCCACACGTACGATGTACATAATTACCCTTATTGAGATAATAGGAGTTTCTGTTTATAACGTGAATCACGTTTACAGTATTTAATTAGATTTATGATCGACGTATAAATACGACTCGATATCTTTCAATGTTAAACTAGTGTGGATAAATGTTTTAAGATTTGTATTCTGTGTGTTGTGGAAATCTGAGAATAAAATCAAACAGAGTTTTCTAAAGTTTCTTCATTAACGTGGGCATTGAAGTTGAAGGGTGAACGGGCGACTGGCAGTTCTGAGACGGTCTACGAAATAGCAATATACGGTGACATCAATTCATTTACCAATTATCTAAACAGTCTGGGAAATATCCTTATCAAGCAATGAAACTAGGAAGATCGGGATGTTTTCTTGTAAAGTGGAACATAAAATCAGTTTTGCGTCTAGCATGATGGCCTTCCCCCATCTGCACTGTGGCTCTGTTAGTGGCCACGGGCCCCCGTTTGGAAACCACTGCTTTAGAGGTTGCGTATGGCTGTGACTTCGTGCCTTTCTATGACTTTCTTGTTCGAAGCGGCTTCGAAGCTTCCCTAAAATTCAAGATATAGCAAAACGATGACGTAGTACGGTCCCACTCAAGCGGAGCGAATTATATTCAGTTAATAATGTTTTAACAACGTGTTTCGCACCGAATGTAATGGTCACGACGCCGCGTGCCGTTTAAAATCACCTCGCGTGTTCGGGGAAACCCCATTAAGAAGAACGTATTCTTAGATAGATAGATATATGATTCCTCGGGTTAACTTTATTGTCATACAGTATTTCAAGGCAACATTTCGTTTGGTATCGTTGTTCTCTTGAAGACGTGAGATACAGATTACAGAGTAGAACCGTAAGGTTAATAATAAATAATGGGTTTTCGTATAAAGCCCCGGCCTCGTTTTAAAATAACAGATTGGTAATTGTCTGGTTCGAGGTAGAAGTGATTTGAAAATTTTAATTTTCAGCGCAATTTGCATTCCTAGCTCTGATACTGACGGGATAACTTCTAATTTTCTTATTTTGATTTGAACCAACAATCCTTATTTTTTGAAAAATTTGATTTGCAGTAGGATACTTATCAAAATTTACAAAATATATTCTTGACGCAAGTTCACAAGGACCTGCCAAGAATAAAAAGCTCATTCAAAATTAAAACCGTAACGACCGTTTGGACGTGTAGACAAAAGACAACTGATCGATTTCGCTACGGTACAACGGTATTGACGCAAGGGGTATTTTCATTGAGTCGAGACTGCTGAACAAAGTTTATAAATGTTACTCTGATATTTCTTTTGTAACATAAATTATAGACAGTTAGACAGTTGATATATATACCCATATTTACAATTATTAAGATTTTTTCGGACTCTTCCTAACGGAACTAATTTCGCCTTGATAATATAAGCGATAGTCATAAAATGTTTTTGCGATGATTGTTTCGCGTTCACAAAATACCAACCAAGCACTAAGCAAATATTGGTGCTCCAAAAGTATGCGAACCAAGATGTCGTCCAGCCTGAATCCTAACCGGTACACACATACTATCGTCAGGTTGTGCGCCATCTTGTTGCGCATATTTCTCGAGGTCCCAATTTTTAACTTGATATAATTTACTGGCCGCTGTAACTGTAATATGTAAATGCTTATCACTCATTTACAGGATTGGTGTTCGAAATCCGACATATAGGATTTAAGTAATATTATTCATTCTCCGGCGTTGAAAATATGAATTCGCAAACGTTATCTGTCGGTCCGATTTACGCTCAGAAACTTCTCTTTTCAATCAAAGAGATGAGGAAAGAAAAATTTGCTTGTGATTTTGTGATTAAAGCTGGGAAGAAAGCATTCAACGTGCATCGGAATATAATATCAGCTGCGTCAAACTATTTCAAAGCAATGATTTCCTCTGAGATGAAAGAACGTCAACAAGGATATGTTGAGATGAAAGATGCCCATCCGCTTATACTCGAAATCTGTATAGATTTTATATACACAGGCCATGTGGAACTAAGTGAATCAAATATTCAAGATATTTTGCATCTATCCAACTTTTTGCAGTTGGATGAACTTACTGATCTCTGCTTTGAATATTTACAAGCGAATTTGACTTGTCAGTGTTGCCTCCAAACCATAGAACTCGCTAGCCTTTATAATCGACAAGACGTTGTTGTTAAGGCAGAACTTTTTGTAGTGGACAATTTAGAAAAAGTTATTTCAAATGAAAATTTTACATCAATAGTGTTCAAAGATCTTTCGTACTATCTTGAAGCATCGAAATCACCTTATAACACCAAGTGGAAAGCAGTTACCACCTGGCATGATGACAAAGAGGGAAAAGTAGATAAAACTTTATTCACTCTTATGGAATTGCTTAAAATTAAGGATTTTCCTTTCGATTTTGTGCTGGGAACTATTTGGAAAGAACCGCTGTTGCGGAGAAGTGTATCTTCCACCAGCCTAGTATTCGGAAGACTATTTTCAGACGTTGAAGAAATTATAGAAAATTTGACCATTGATAATTTCTTGATCTTGAAAAGTTGGGCGAATAATCAAAATATAGTAATAACTGAAAACATGAGAACGGTAATGAATGAATTCATGGCTGAATATTTCGAACAACTTTTGTATAAAAATGAGTTCTTCCAACTCGACGAAAAAGAAATATTTTTTTTGTTTCAATCTAGAAATACCAAATATTCCCCTGAATTAGTCAAGTGGAATGCTGCATTAAAATGGACAAAGCATATTGATTCCAGAAAAATGTGTTTTCCTGGCTTATTGAAATTAATCAACTGGCATGAATTTTCTCCTAATTTTATTCGACAGATTGTCAGATACGAAACGTTAGTGAAAGAATCTCGTGAAAGTGAAACGATATTACTAGATGCAATCTATTCCCGACCTGAGGTCAATGAAACGGGACATCCACAAATTGCATGCTTGGAATCGGAAACGGGTGAGGTACGGGCGTTCGATACTAAATGGGAAACATGGCATTTACTCCCCAACGTCTCCAAAGGCTATCCGATGCATATAGTGAATGTCAATGACAAGCTGTATGTAGTGAGTGGAACGGATCTCTTTGTTTTGGAAGATAATCGGACGTGGAAAAAAACTACCGTCGATGAATATCGGAGAAATATGGCGAAAAATCGCATCATTTCAGGGGAAAATTTATATGGTATGTGAAAAAACTATTTCGTGTTTTTATCCCATTCAAGATACTTGGAAGGAAAGACTTCTAGGTTGTGAATTGTCGTACGGTTTTTGTGTTGCAGCATCTGAAGAATTCATTTATGCAATGGGAGGTATTAAGGAGGGTAACGAGGTAAAACGATTTGATCCAAAAACGATAAAATGGTCGAATATTACACCCATGAAATTTGCAAAAAAATATTCAGGAGCTGCCGTCTTTAATAAGAAGCTTTACGTTATGGGAGGATTATGTACAGAATCGCTAAAGGTTGTTGAATGCTACGATCCCGAAACTGGAGTTTGGTGTCAACTCGCGAATATGGCGGTTCCGAGAGCAACGTTCAACTCTTGTGTTGTTGACGGTGAATTATACGCGGTTGGAGGGCGGTATAATATGCTATTTTCAAATTCATTGGAAAAATATCAAGCAGACGAAGATAAATGGAAAAACATAGAAACTCCGGGGTTTCCCATCAATTGTTATGTCTGGTCGTGCTCATATAAAATGTAAACCTACATTTTACTTGGTTTTTATCTTTAGGTATGCCATGTATATTCTATATTGTACGTATAATATTATCATTACCGATTTCTTGTAGTATGAGTTAGTATATATATATATCTTTTATATATAGTCGACCTTTTCAACACTGAAATGTGTATAACAACAGAATATTAAGGTGACTGCAGCATGTTGTATAGTTGATTTAGGTAGCCTCATGATTTTTAGGTTACTCTACTCCTTATTTATTTTTGTTCACAACAATATATATCAAATATATTTCATCCATTCTCTCACAGCCCCATTGATTTTGTAGGTTTTGTGTACAACATTTATTTGTTGGTTGTCTTAAAGCAAGAAGCAAACCACCAAGTTGATATTCGAATCACCACCCAGCAAATACATTTGGTAGAAAGGGCAGATTTCCACGTTTCACAGAAGTATCCGTCGATATAACGTTTATAGATTGAAATAAAACCAAAAAACAACATTGAATCTGGATTTAGCGCTTTTTCATATACCAAAGATGTAATACTGTTTGTTTTTCTTGCCAAAACTAAATAGCACATCAGCATTTTGGGGAATGCAGTAACTATTTAACACACGTGTCAAAACGCTTTATCAGACCCAAGTTTGAGAAATTTTCTTACCTCATATGCGACGTTCTATACCTGAAATCTGCACGTTCGTCATATATGTCCACAAAGATAATAGTATCAGATATGAAAATTCATCAGTCCCATTTTTGCTGTTGGAAGGTATGTATGTATCTCATAGTTTTATGTTGTCAGTCGTTAGGTTATCTAGTTATATATTGTGGCTCAAAAAGCTGACTCCCTTTCTCGCACAATATCTCGACGTTGGATGAATCAATGTTAACAATATTTACAATATCGACAAAATCTGCAATCAATTGCCTGGCTAACTGTCAAAAAAAAAAAATAATTGCTAATTGAAGATTTTGTGAAAATGAGCAAAATAGACCGGAGAATTGTACTAAAAACTCGATATTGACTATGCCTGGTTCATACGCGATTATATCCTAAGGCAGGGGTCGGCAACCTTTTGTCGTTCGCGGGCCAAAATTAAGAGTTGCAAGTCATTGGCGGGCCACACATATTTTTAGAAGGTTGAAAACCGAACGATACATCTCTCGAATAGAATATAGGTTTATTTCCTCATTGCATTGCATCTCCAAAAATTCCATTCAAACATTTTCGGCGCCATTAAACCCATAGGCACTTAGCCTCGGCTTTTCTGCGTTTTGTTGTCATTTGCCTAATTATAATTGAATCATAGGCTCATTAAACGAGTAATTGTGAATTATATACTTGCTAGGTTATAATATAATTTAGTCTACACGTGTCACACAATAAATTCTGTTAAGTAAAGAATATATTCGTCAAAACAGCTGTTTTGTTACTATAATTCAGTGATGCGTCGCGGGCCGGATTAAATTGCGTAGCTTACGTACTCCTCAACGTCACTGGTCATGTCGACGCACGATCCACGATTACGGTGACGTCGTTGACGACATAACTGACATTGATACGCAGCGCGCGATTATGGCGATATAGCGCCGCCAGCAGAGAGAACAAAGCGATGGACAAAAAGTTGCAACACCGCAATAATAATGTTGAAGGGCAAATGGGATTGTTTTTTGATCCTCACTCAAAAATATATAAAACCCAACAAAGATGCGGTGACCAATTGTATATTGCACAAACACTAGAAAATATGAAACGTACAAAAATAAAAGAAACTCGGGTGGATGAGAATAAACAGGAAATTGAGGTAAAGGAACAGTAGACAATGATATGGTGCTGTCAACAATTATGTATTTTCATGTGATATAATGCTGCACATGGGGCTGGACGAAGAGCAACATCATAAGATTCATACATTTTATATGTCATGTTATCAAAAAGAATTGCATTGACGTAATATATTACGCATTGACGTAATATATGTGCGTCAGAGCGTCGTTCGACGCCAACACAGGCAAAAAAGTAGCAAGTTTTGCCAACTTTATCGTTTCGTTGCTCGAAAAATTTTAAATGCAAACATCATGCGATTTTTTGTGCATGAAAAGATAAATATCTTAAAAACCCAACTGTCATAACTAATTTATTGTTGTTGTTTTCGGTAAACGGCACTATTAAATCGCTTTATTTTTTGTACCAAATTTTTGAGAAAAAATTCACTTTTTTTCGTTACTTATCGATTTTAATCGGTAAGTATGTTGATAGGTATTTGTCTGTCTGTCTGTTAGATGCACGCGATATCTCACGAGGGCGAGATTGAATCTGCTCCAGATTTTGCATGTGCATTCATCATATCTCGGACCAAAAGCCTATTGGGCGAATTATGTCGTATAATTACCGAGTTATTAATTAATTAGTGATTAGTGAAATTGGGCGAATTATGTCGTATAATTAGCGAGTTATTAATTAATAGTGATGAGACACAAGGTGTCACTATGGAGTAAGAGCGCTGTTTTGGGGATCCCCTAACTTTCGATCGATAAGTCTTCGGTCTCTGACCGATATTCACGTTTATCTTTTTAATCCGATCATTAGATAGCTCTGAAAAAACTAAACAACTCTCATATTTTTTTTGTGGCTGTAACGGTTTTAAAAATATAGCCGTGTAAAAACATGACTCTCGAACTTCAGAAAAATGTTAAATATGGCTTGGCAGCGAAAGCGATATATTATTACTGTGCAACAACAAGTTGGTTTAATTTTTCAATCACAAATAACTACAGAAAAGCGAAACCTAATGAAGATTAATGAATTAAAGCCACACTAGTTGCAAGATAAAGCCAAGACAAAATACCACTGCGAAATAAAACACATTCATAGGCTGTATAAACTAGAAGCAGCAAGAACTATCTCTTGGCATTGAAATATGTTATTTATATTACATCGAATGACCCAAACGACTTTTGAAAAGGTGCGAGGTTAGACTTTTTGTTTTGTTTAAACTTCACTTAAAATCGATTTCATACAATCAAAAGAGATGTCGACAGCATTCTGTTTGGTTTATTTGTAGGCCTTGTTCAATTGCTTTGTATATCAGAATATTTCAGTTGCATTCACGTATTCACCGCAGTATACACAATTTTCTGATTAGTTGATATGACATGCAAAGCAGGCGGCAATATGAAACTCCTTTTTTTTGCTTCAATATTTATTTGTTTATTTCACACAAGGTCTTGCAAAGATGAGTTCTGAATCAGCCATGAATGCTTTCTTTCATTCGATTTCATAAAATTCTTTCAATGCATGCATTGCAGGGTTTAATTGATTTTGCTTGTAAAAAAAATTGTTCTTCTTATGGGACCGTTATTTACTGAGTTACTCAGTCATCTTCTGGGATTTGAAAAGCTTTGCATAATGTAGAACTTGTACGGTTAAAAGTTGCGTTCGCCAGTTGGCGCACTTTCCATTATTGTGTTTCAGTCGTATTTTATTTTCCGTTGAATAGCAGCCAGTCAACATGAGATATTTATGAACAAAATAAAGTACAAGTATTATGGAAGTTTATTGCGCAAAATCGCATAGTTGACTCACATCGATTTCGTGATTTCGATAACTTTCTTACATAAGTTTCTTTTAACCACTTGATTCCTCACATTAAAATTCAAATATTAGTTTAAATATATTTTGCTTTACAGCAAAATTACAACGCACTGTATGGTGGATACACAACACTTAAAAAAACTTATATTTTAATAATAGCCCACATTTCCTTGTCGAATAATGCTCTATTTTTCATATTTGCTGCTCTTCATTCTATGTCGCAACCAGATATTGAAAATGTCAACTTCGAGCCAGATTGAAACATGGGTGATAATTTCTTCATATTTGTGGATCAGCACAATTCCTATAATCTATACATGAGATGAAAATTCCGTTTTAATTTTTTACCTTATACTAGGAATAATAGGGTCATTTCGATCAGGCTTAGCCATTCAATAAACAGAATTAACATTTACATACTATCTAATATTGTTTGCTGTGTGATGTCGTCCTAAAATAATATTTTGTCATACGACATAGAGGCAAAAAAGAACATCACGTCAGCTTTACTTTAACGTCGAGTAAAGCACTTAAATTGGATTTCACAATACGACCGGCGCTATAAATTTTGTAGTGTCTCATTCACTTGTAATATGGCCTAGTAAAAACAACAGAAACAGACCGATTTGTTTGTCCGCATGAAAAGTCAACATATCGGGGTATAATATGCGGTCAACAGGTTAAAGAAGGTAAATAGTAGATCGGGAGTGCGCAGCACAATGACGTCTGCCGGTAACGAGGCTTATCTAGCAGGGTATAAGGAGTTAGGTCCTGCTTGGGATTTGAAGTGCTCCCAAACCAAATAGAAAACCCGAACAAATACCAAGATCAGAGATAGAATGTACAAGGCGTAAGATAGCTGTATCTATTATTGTAAGTTTATTTAGTTGGGTGTTACGTTAGTGTAGATGTCTGCTTTATGTTATGGCTAAACCACAGTATTGGGTTACGTATCGCCTACAGGGTGGCCCGCGCCAGATCCAAAATCATTGTTAAAACGTGCAATATTTTAGGGATTCCGTCACCAGCTAGCGATCAAGAAATGTATCTCGTATCTTTACATAACAAAGGTTTCTTTAGTGTTTGTTTAGGCTTCTAACAGTTAACCTGTTCGTGGTCGTATAAGGCTTAAAGCAAAGCTAAAACTGTTCTGAGGTGAGGCCTCAACTT